CCCTCACCTGTCCCCACCCTCACCTGTCCCCACCCTCACCTGTCCCCGATCAGCCCAGGTGTTTTCATCATCCACTTATCTCTGCTCTGTTTACTCCGTCTCTGTCTCACCTCTCATCAGTTCAGCATTTTTGATCTCATTGCCTCAGAGTCTGTGTCTCACGTCTTCCTCTGAGCTTTTGAATGTTCTTGTTAGTTTAGTTTTAGCTGCCACATTAGACTTTTTGTTTTATTTTATTAAATTAAGTTGTTTATAGTTTAACGTCCAAGCTCCACGCATCTGTCTCCACTCGGGTCCAATCCTTCAAAAACCCAACACCTTCCTTACCACCCATTTAACTTTCTACCCACCTTCCTTCCTACCCGCTGGTACCTTGTTTCCTAAGCATCTATCCACCTTCATTCCTACCTGCTGGTACCTTGTTTCCTACGCATCTACCCACCTTCCTTCCTACCTGCTGGTACCTTGTTTCCTACACATCTACCCACCTTGCTTCCTACCTGCTGGTACCTTGTTTCCTACGCATCTATCCACCTTCATTCCTATCTTACTACCCACCTACCCACGTTTAATACACCGTGTTATTTTACATTATTATTGTTTAACCTCTGTCTTAGATCCTTGTATACTGTTTCTTTTTATACTTTATATTTTTGCTATTTTTGGATGTAACTGGGACCCTGCGCACTTAATTTTGTTCCACCTCATGTGCCACGTGTGATGCGAATGACGATAAAGAACCTTGAACCTTCTTTCCTCCCTTCCTTTAAATGCATTAAAAGTTAAAGAAAGTAAAGGTGACTTTATTTGTCGTTAGTAGCTGAAAGTCATCCACAACCAGACGGTGCACGATGTGTGTTTAAACTTCAGCATGAAAATAGGCGGGTGATATGCATTCCTTCACAGTTCGCTGGTTTAACGTAGGCGGTGTGTAAGTTTTGTAAGTGACACACTCTTCCCATGAGTTTATGTATCCAAAGCGGTACCAGTTGTCCTGTTGTCTACCTCTGGTTCAATTCTGACTAGCAGAACTGGTGTCAGTTTTCCACCAGCTGGACTCCTCCATTAAAGATACTAAAAAAACTAGGGATGCACGATATTATCAGCATGGTATTGGTATCGGCCGATATTAGCGATAAAGTTAAATATCGGACATTCCTTCAAAATAACTCACCGATATAAAAGGTTTCTGTTTGAAGTTGATTTTTAATTTAAAAAACTGTCAAGTAAATTATTAATGCACTACTACTTATGCACTTTTCACTTGTTGCTTGTGAACAGGTTGAGTTTAAATTTGTGAAAATTTACAAATTTGCACTGTTCGAGTGTTGTTGTTGTGTTGGAGAGTAAATGTCATGAATAAATTTGACATTAAACATCCAAGTTGAAGTGTTGCGTCATTTTTGCCTTCTGCATTTGGTATCGGGTCAAACTGACAAAGACCGTGCAGAACAATGTAACATTTTAATTCCACAGCAGAGAAAGCGATGTAGTCTCTGTAAGTACGTCTAGGGGAAAAAATATTGTATTGTATCGGTTATCGACCAAATACGTTTTAACATATTGGATATCGGCCAAAAATCGAAAATCGTTCGTTCATCCCTAAAAAAACTAAACTCAAACCTAATAAATATCCTTTAGTCCATCAGATGGTGCAGTTTGTTTGCTCCGGTAGTGTTTCCACAAATTCAGATTTAAAATGCAGGTCTGCACTCAGTGAAAACAAATCCGTCCTTTCTGCATTTATCTTCCCCACGAGAATAAAATGTGTGGGTTTCTCTTTGTACCTTTACGTCTGATCAGATCGATGCGGTTGGAATGAAGCTGTCTGAATGTGTCTTTTAAATTTTTATTTTTTTTTACCAGAATTCCTCTGGAATAAATATCCCGAAGCCTCCCAAACCCCCCGACAAGCCCCTGATGCCGTACATGAGATACAGTCGAAAGGCAAGTATCCAGAACAAACGGTTGTGTGCTGCTGAAACGTGTTTTTAAGACGAGTCAGCTCAGAGTTCGACGCACATCATTTGATGTTACGAAGGAAGGCGAGGTCCAGACGTTAGTGGGTTGTGATGACATTTCTTTTTAAAGATGGAGCTTTAAAGCACACGGCCTCCTCTGGTTTGTGACCTCTCTGCAAAGAGATAAGCACTCGTAGCCCCTCCGACCCAACCCAACCCCACACCCATGTCTGGTTCTCATCACCAGGTTTGGGATCAAGTAAAAGCCTCCAATCCTGATCTGAAGCTTTGGGAAATTGGGAAGATAATCGGTGGCATGTGGAGGGACCTCACTGATGAGGAGAAACAGGATTATTTGAATGACTACGAAGCAGAGAAGGTTGGTTGTTTTACAGAGGGGGTGTTTATGGGGGTTTGTTCTGATGGGGGACCTGCAGCTTGGTCCCTTCATTCCTTCATCTATCTTCTCATGGTTGGAAGGTCCACATGCTCGCCTCTTCTTTCCCTCGTCATTCTTGTTTTCTCCGCTGTAGATCGAGTATAACGAGAGCATGAAGGCCTACCACAACTCGCCGGCCTACCTGGCCTACGTGAACGCTAAAAGCCGAGCCGAGGCGGCGCTGGAGGAGGAGAGCCGCCAGAGGCAGTCCCGGCTGGACAAAGGCGAGCCCTACATGAGCATTCAGCCAGCCGAGGATCCAGATGGTAAGGCCACAAATCTGAGTGCGCTGTAATTACTGCCGGCCGACCACACAGAGCCGCCGCTCCACCTACACCACCCTCTGTTTACAGCCCCGAGTCACAAAAGGTTGGGGAAAACGTAAATAAAAACAGACTCGGTACATTCCAAACCAGTGTTTTACTCACGGTGGAACACGGTTCCACAGATGTTGAATGATGCTTTTCTTTTTTTTTTTTTTAGAATTTTATGTTAGCAACACGTCTCAGACAAGTTGTTCCAGGAGCAACAAAAGGTTGTAAAGTTAGTGGCACGAATAAAAAACAGCTGCAGGAACGTTTTACAGCGAATGAAGTTAATCGTCAACAGGTCAGTGAGACGAGTGGAAATACAGAGAGGCGTTTAGAAAGGCTGAATCTGTCAGAAGTAAAGACGGGCGCAGGTTCACCGGTCGGTGAAAAATCATGTATAAAAATAGTGGAACGATTTCAAAATAAAGTTCCTTAACAGAAAATAAGGAAGACTTTGAATCTCCATCATCTGCAGCTCATGATCTCATCACCAGATCAGAAGAATCTGTAGAAACCTCTGAGCTCAAAGGACGAGGCTGAAGGTCGTGACCTTCGGGCCCTCAGGGGCCACTGCATTAGAATCAGGTCTGGTTCTGGTTCTGGACTCAGGAAGACTTCCACAGATCATTGTAAGCACAGTTCATCCACAAATGTTGCTTAAAGCTCTATCAGGCAAAGAAGCAGCCAGATGTGAACACCATCCAGAACCGCCACCGTCTTCTCTGGACCAGAGCTCATTTCAAATGGACTGAGGTGAAGTCCAGAACTGTTCTGAGTTCAGACGAGTCCAGATCTGAAGTTCTGTTTGGAAACCATGGATGACAGAGATAATAAAGAGGGACCATCGAGCCTGTTATTAACGTGCAGTTCAAAGGCCTACCTCTCTGATGGTATGGGGGTGCATTAATGTCTGTGGCATTAAAGGCTCCATCAATGCAGAAAAACAAATACAGGATTAAGAACATCTGCTCCCATCCAGGACTGTAGAACATCTAGAGACCTCCATCAGACCAGAATGGGACAATAATCTGTCCAGAACCTCCTCAGGTCCTCCAGAACCCCCAACATCTGGTTTCCTCAGATCCTCCAGAACCCCCAACATCTGGTCTCCTCAGGTCCTCCAGAACCC